GCTCTCGTAGGCCCCAGGCCTTGGTCGGGTTACTCCGGTGCTGTACCATATTGTGCGTGGTATCATCTTGTGTGCCCCCATCTTGTGGACAGTTTGGGTGCCAGTTGGGGTTGGTGGCGGCTTGTGGCACTGAGTTGGCTCCGATTCTCTGGCCCAGTTCCTGGAGCTCAGACGAGACACGTCTGATCTGTTCAGCGGTCAGGCTCCGCCCCCCAACCAAAGAGTTTTTTAAGGGAAAGAAGTGGAATGTTATGCAATGGCCAAGTCAATCACCTGACCTGAATCCGATTGAGCATGCATTTCACTTGATGAAGACAAAACTGAAGGGAAAATGCCCCAAGAACAAGCAGGAACTGAAGACAGTTGCAGTAGAGGCCTGGCAGAGCATCACCAGGAATGAAACCCAGTGTCTGGTGATGTCTATGCGTTCCAGAATTCAGGCTGTAATTGACTGCAAAGGATTTGCAACCATGTATTAAAAAGTGAAAGTTTGATTTATGACTGTTAATCTGTCCCATTATATTTGGTCCCTTAAAAAGTGGGAGGCACATATACAAACTGTTGTAATTCCTACACCGTTCACCTGATTTGGATGTAAAATTAAAGCTGAAAGTCTGCAGTTAAATCACATCTTGTTTGTTTCATTTCAAACCCATTGTGTTGGTGTATAGAGCCAAAAAGATTAGAATTGTGTCGATGTCCCAATATTTATGGACCTGACTGTATGTTAGTATGTGTCTGTGTGTCAGTATGCGTGTGTGTCTGCATGTATGTTAGTATGTGTCAGTATGTATGTATGTGTTTCTGTATGTCTGTTTCAGTATGTGTGTATATTTTTAAGAGCGAAGGGAAAGGGAGGATTGGAGGTAAATAATAACTCATACCTCACAAACCTGACCTTTCAAAGTACAAAAGCAACCTATAAACAAATTATTAAAGCATAACCTTTATTGAATTAAATATCAAAATATATAAAACCAAAGTATCAGGTCATATCTAGTGGTACAGTAATAAGGGAAATGAAACAATAGGTAACAAAGAATAATAATTAATAACAAAAGATTATAATAACAGAAAAAAATAAGATTTAATATAGCTGATTAGTAAGGAAGGGAATGTGTGCTGGCTGCAAAAGTGGCAGTCAGAAAGTCAAATTACTACAGAGAAGATAGAGGGGAGAGAAATCAACAACGATTAAGGTAGGAAAACCAATATCAAACAATATATCTCTATCACCTAAAGTGCATTCATGGGCACCCCTTGAAAAACTAAGCTCTCCTTCCCTCCCAAAGTCCCCAAAACCCGTAAAAAGAAAAAGAGAACAAATCACCTTCCCCACACCCCAACAGCTAACCAATAATAGATAAAATCACTGCGTGGTGGCTATCTAAGGATTTGAATTAGGCTGCAGCATCATCCTTTGTCTAACTGCCGACCACTGCACTAAACTGTCCCAGTGTATGTGCCAGTATGTATGCCTGTATGTGTGTGTCTGTTTCAGTATGTGTCTGTGTTACTATGTATGTGTGTTTGCCAGTATGTCTCTGTGTGTGTGTATCTTTGCCCTTTTGTATCAGTGTGTGTATCTGTGTTTGTGTCTTTGTGTGTATTCTGTGTCAATGTTTGAGTGTCTCTGTGGGTATATATGTGTGTGTGTATGTATCTGTGTGTCTGTGTATCAGTGTTATATCTATGCTTTTGTCCATATATTTAATGGTAAGTCAGATGACAGAATACTTAGGGTGCATGACGGTGTGAACCCTGATGTTTGTGTAAGGATCTGTGGTAGCTAAATGTGCCAAGACTTTAATGTGAATAATGTTGTTCTTCATATATCTATAGGTGTTCTTGGGTGCATGCTTGGGAGCCAAAAGATTCCCACGTGGTTATAGGAATGCCACCCATCACTCACCCCTGGTGATGGCTCCTCCTCCTCTCACAGTGGCTGGGTCTGTAAACATTAGAGACGCCGGCCGCTGCAGCTTTGTTAGACTTAAGGGTTTCTTATGCTTTAAGGCCAATTTGTATGCCTCGATAAGCAAGACATTTATCTCCAGTCAAATGTATATGTTTTTTGTAACTCGAGTCAATGTGAGGAGGCGTAATGGGATGACATGTGTGATACTTGCATTGTTTTTATAATATGATACATGACCATATGTATTAAGAGTATCAATCAGTGGTGGAAGGGATTCTACAGGCTGTGCTAAGGTGTATATTGTCTGTGAATAACAAAAAATCTTGTTGGCCTATGCGTAGATACGAGGTAGGGCAGCATCGGGTTTAATCTTGTAGCTAAATTTTTGCATAAATTTTAAGATCAATATTCAGTAATGAAATCGGAATAACATTTGCACAGTTAGTGAATAGTTTCCCAGGTTTGGGGAGCATGATGATGTTGACACTAAGCATTTTGTCCATTATGTGATTTTTGTTCTCTAAAGTGGTTGTAGAGATGTGTCATACGTGGTGCCAACTGCAGGGCATACATTTTGAAAAAGGTGTTAGGTAGGCCATCTATGCCTAGGGCTTTATGAGGGGTGAATTAAGCTATCACGCAGAGCATTTCATCTTAAAGGGACACTATAGTCACCTGAACAACTACAGCTTAATGTAGTTGTTCAGGTGAGATCTATAGCTCCCTGCAGGCAATCTAATGTAAACACTGTATTTTCAAAGAAAACACAGTGTTTACATTGATTGATAGGAATACCTCCAGTGGCCATCACTCAGATGGCCACCAGAGGGACTTCCTATCATGTATGGCCCTAAAAAGGCCATGTACACGCCAGATGTATTAAAATACGTCTGACGTGTACAGGAGAGAGGAGGCACTGTGTGAGCGCCTTCTCTCTCCTGCCTGTCAGCAGAGGAGAGGGGGTGGGCAAAGACCGCGAGCTGAGCTGTCAGCAGTAGAGCGCTCAGGACTTCATAGGGCGGCATGTATGCCGCCCTATGAAGTATGTGCGCATGTGCGGCGAAGCCACGCATGCGCACAAGGGAGCAAGGACGCTTCCGAATGGAAGCATCTGATTGCTCCCTGTTCGCTCCGCCTATTTCGTCATTTTTACGAAATAGGGGGCGCAGCTTCACAAGGCTCCCGGCGCTGGAACGAGGTGAGTAAAAAGGGCTGCATGAAGTGTCCCTTTAAGTGATGGGATGGGAACAGCAAGTCTTATGGGTTGACTGGTTGGTGCAGATCTGAGTTTTACAGTGTATTAAACTTGAATTTCACTTTGAACTCACTGTTCACTATGTACTAAAATGGGAATTCCAGCCTAGAATTTCAGTAAATAATGGTGTACCAGTATAATTACACTAAAGTGTGAATTATCCAGAATTCATACAGGGCTATTGTCACGCCGCCTGCCTGCATTGTTGTGCATTCCCAAATGCCACGTGGTTATAGGAATGCCGCCCATCACTCATCCCTGGTGATGGCTCCTCCTCCTCTCACAGCGACCGGGTCTGTAAACATTAGAGATGCCGGCCGCTGCAGCTTTGTTAGACTTAAGGGTTTTTAAATTAACCCTTAAAGTGCCATATCATGATTGATCTGTTGGTGTGTCACACACACACGCCCACAAACACAGGCTTCCCTGCAGCCAATCAGGGCGTGCCTTGGACTATTTAAACCTGTTTTGTCCATTTCTCTGTTCCCTGTCGTGGTTTCCATTGTGGTTATCCGAGAGCGCGTTCCTGGTATCGATTATAGTGTTTTTGACCTTGGGTTTCTCTTTTGACTATCCGATCTCTGTATTCCTTGTCCTTTGGCTTGGCTCCTGACTATTCTGAATTCTCCATTCCTTGACTCGTGGCTTGTTCATTGTTCCATGATTTCTACTTCTTGTCTTTATCCTGTCTTGTGTTTTTTTCCTTTATACGTTAAATCCGGCCATTCTAAGGCCCGGTAATATGTCTTAGGATTTTCCTTTATATCTACTTACGTTCTGCATGTTGGGCATCAGCTATTCCTGACAGTTATTCAGTCAAGTAAAAAAATTGATAACTCAAAGTAAATTCAAAGAGAATTTCAAATTTTTGTCAAAAATAACTATACATTCTCCAAGTATAGCTGGCTTGCAGAATTTCTTTTTCAGCTATTTTGGACTTATTTGGCCACTAGGGGTACTTTCTGGGGCAGTGCTGGGGACTCTGAACTTTCCCCATAAAGATGCATTGATTCAATACATCTCTATGAGGAAATGCTAATTGGCCAAGGCGGTGTTTGGCTCTGTCCCTGCTCCCACCTCTTTGACTGAGATCATCAGAATTGACAAGCTCAGCCAATCCAATGCTTTCCTATAGAAAAGCATTGTGATTGGCTGAGATGATCAATTCTAATGATGTCAGCCAAGGAGGTGGATCAGGGGTGGAGCCAGCACCCTGGAAACAATGTGAGTTTTCTAATTATTTAGAGGTATCAAGGGGGGGAGGGGTGCTTCTATGATTTTTTTAACACTATGGGGTCAGGAATACACGTTTGTGTACTGACCCTATAGTGTTCCTTTAAGACAAATTCACAACAATTCTCACTCAGTGAATAACCCTGGTGAGTTTATAGTGAATTACAAATTTTAGGCCCAAACACATTTTTATCTTTCCAGTTCGGAAATTTTGTTTTAAAAGTTCAAATTCATGTGTATATGGAACAATTTGGAAAATGTGTGTAAACTAGCTTCCCATCAGCAAGTGTGAGCTGTTCTGCAGAAATAAGTGATGTGAAATTATTTGAAATTTCAAAAGAGGGATTTAAGAGAAAGAGCCTGTTGATGATTTCTTCAGCTCAGAGCTAGTAACTGAACTGAAAGTAAAAGGAGCATCACATGATAAAAGTTTAACACGTTATAGGGGACTTTTTAATATTTTATTCAGGGATGTAATTTCCAGAGAAGTGCCAGTTTCTCATCAATAGGCTCTGAGTAGTGATGTCCCGAATGGTTTGCCGAACGGTTCGCCGCGGACTCATCATTGAGTAAACTTTGACCCTGTACCTCACAGTCAGCAGACACATTCCAGCCAATCAGACCCTCCCTCCCAGACCCTCCCACCTCCTGGACAGCTCACTAAGAAGCTGCTTCAAAATGGATGCTGTCCAGGAGGTGGGAGGGTCTGGGAGGGAGGGTCTGCTGCTGATTGGCTGGAATGTGTCTGCTGACTGTGAGGTACAGGGTCAAAGTTTACTCAATGATGAGTCCGCGGCGAACCATTCGGCAAACCATTCGGGACATCACTACTCAGAGCCTATTGATGAGAAACTGGCACTTCTCTGGAAATTACATCCCTGAATAAAACATTAAAAAGTCCCCTATAACGTGTTAAACTTTTATCATGTGATGCTCCTTTTACTTTCAGCTCAGTTCAGTCCGGACACACATTGCTACAATATAGTGGCTAAAAATAAACTTTTTTTTTTCATATTCCCTCTTCTCTGTATGATTTGTGTCTGCTGACAGCACAGTGTTTATAATAAATATTGCCAGGAAGCTGATATGGAAGTGCCCAGCGGCAGAATACAGAGGTGTGGATTTGTACATGTAATACATATTTATTAAGTATATGTCCTATATATGGGATAAGTAAACATTTTAAAAATCCTGTATAAAAAAAATATGTTCAGCGCTTAGCAGACCAACCCCTAATAAACAAATATGGGGACTGAGATAAAAATACTCTAAAGTTTGATAATAAAATATACTTATATAATGTCCAATGTAAGTGTCAGAGTGGAGGTATATCCAGAAAAATAGTCTGAGTTAGAGGATATTTCCATGCAGTGTGAGGGTTAATGATGATCAAGTGAAACAAATCCTCTTTCACTATGTTTCTTTGTATCTGCTCTGCTACTTGTATCAACCTTTAAAAAAGGATACTTGACATAGCTAAAACAGTTATACATTTATTTCCCAAGCATAAAATCTCTTACAAGAAAATGTGGTTGTAACGGCACCCCCAGGCATAAAAGGGGTTAACAGCTATTTAGGAGATATTCCCTTCCAGATTTACAGGCAGCTACTGTAGACACCAATCCACCGAACTGGAGAAGCACATGAATGCTCTCAAACATACGAATGCTGTAAACAGCTGAATAGGAAAAACCACACGAAAGGTTTACACTCCTAGCAGTCGAACTGGAACAGCATACAATAAATCCCCCCAAGAACGAGACAAAGCTGTTGAGGGTCAAGCAGTGAACAGACAGAGCTGTGGGTTTATTGTTCTTATATACACATTCTTACACCTTAGTACCACCCACAGGGTTTTGTAAAACAACCAATACACACGTACAATACACTCAGACACTCCCACACAAAATCATCCCCTCTGCCTGTGATACAATTACCTTACACAATGGGTTAATGTAATTATCACAGGCAGAGAAATACAGTTTTTCCACATTATTCATTCGTTGTACAAATGGGCTCCATGGCATAGCTATCTGGGGTATCACTGTTCAAATAGGGCAAGTACTGAATGACCTGGCTTTCGTGTCTTTGCAGGGGAAAATCAAGTGTTTCAACATGGGGCCATAGTCTAGAGGCAGCAGGCGGCAACCAGGCTCCTCCAGTTGCGAGATTGGTCTTGTCACAGTGGTGAACACTTATTTCTAAGTGGTACAATGTGGTGTACTCGCCGTTAGAAGATCGTATGCAGCTCCGTTGTGCACTCGGACCGATTTTGCTGCAGAGATGTCTGCTTATTTGTCCTACCGCATTGGTTTCTGCAGGTTTAAAAAGTCAATCCCGCCAGTTTCATCAACGCGTTTCGTCCGTTAAGACCAGACTTTTTCATATTGCTGGCATGGCATCCACCGACCCCATGTGTTCCCTATTAAGGGTTAATAAGTATGTAGGAGTTAAAAAAAAATACTCTTCTCTGTCTCATTAGAGATTGTACCTTACAGGCGAAGACAGCAAGGTGAATTGTTAGTGTAGGACTCACCTATGGGATTTTGCCTTAACGGGGCAGGTGAGCTTACCCTTAAATGGCCATTTAAATAACTCCAGATATTTAAATGTGCATAGGGATTTGAGATAGTGCACAAGTTACTTTTTTTTGTTTTGGTTTTATTATAGGTAATTTTATGATTCATCTAAACAGAACCCACTCGTTCCTTGAGAGACCACATTGATCTATTAAACAAATTTGGCAAAGGTTAGTTACCATTTAAAGAGACACGAGACGACCCATTATCTTCAGGGCATTATCTTTATTTAATCTACGTTGGCAAGTAGATTAAAAGTATAACAAGCTCAATTAAATATATCTTATATAGCCTCTACATCTTGGGAGAAAAAGTGATGAGACCAAAGATATTAGTAATTAATTTGTTAAATATCATGCCCACTTTGAAAACTTTAACTCCTCAGGTCACACCTTATCAGCACCAGTCGAATTGATAGAGGTGGCTCCAGCTAACAAGTCGCTGCTTCTAGATAAGGCCTCAGTCATAGCTAGACTCTATGGACTGTATGCAGTATGGACACCGATTGGCCCGAAGAAAGTGCTAGACCTAATATATATTCCTTAACCAATGCATAAAGGGGGTATATTGATCTCCTTGGAACCTGAGAAAGCATGTGACCATCTCAATTGGACATTCCATGAGGTAGTCATGTGCAGGTTTGCTTTCCCAGATATTTTTTGTCCATCTTTCATGCACTAAACACGGCTCATTTTGCCTAGATCTTAAATACTGTGTCTGCTTAAGATTCTTTGTTTCACATCTAATAGCATCTAGCATGGAAGCCTTTTACCCCCACTCCTGCACTCGTTTTGGAACCACTGGCTGCTCTGATTTGGGTAGAGCCATCTATTATTCAGGGTTAAGTTAAATATGTTTGCTGATAATGTAATTTTTATCCTCTCACAGCCATAACTATGTTACATTTTTTTTTTTTTTTAAATGTATGGCTATACTTAAAAGCTGGGGGGGAAATTTATATCCCGATTAGGTTGAACTGCAGCAATTAAAATTGCACTCCGGCCGGAACTCCAATATCTTAGAACAAATACTATAGCCTTAAGAGTTTAGTAAAATTCATTAAATTTTTTTTGCATTTGTCACGACCACGCTTAACCTGGAGTACCCCGCCGCGTCTCCATCCATTCCTGTGGCATTCTCTCCTCACTACACGCCAAGGACTCTGACGTGTCCGACCACAAGGACAGATGGTCGGCATTCCTGTGAATCGTGGATGCGGTGCCGCGGCTCCCCACACCACGCCAAAACCTGTGGGAAGCTCCAGCCGAACCCATGTGTAAACTTCACATACACTAGACGCACACATGCCCGGCAGCTGGCCTTTTACAGTGACAGAACTCCTGAGACAGCTTATAGGACTAATCACTGTTTAACCAATTATATGTGAGAGGTGGATACCCCAGCCCTTGACCTATCTGCCTGTTATATTATTCCTCAACCTGCACTGCCTACCCTCGACCTTGGCTTATTCTGACTGCAAGATTGTCTTATCCATAGTTGGTACCTTGCTTTTGGCTCACTACTGCCTCCTGGACCAAACCTGTGAGAGACCCAACAGCAGCAGATCAAAATAGCATGGGTAACTACTAAATACTCCAGAAACTTATGATGGAGCGAGGCTTAGGCCATCTGATCCTCAAATATGTAAGGATCCTTTGAGGCTTTACTCTGAGTTGCACTTGCAAGTTCTACTTAGTTTACCATCTAATACAGCTTTTCCTTTTTTTTTTTGCAGCTCAAATTAGTTTTGTCGACAAAGAAAGCTAATACAACCAATGCAACGCTTGATTTATCTTTGTCAGCTTTTGACAAAATATAATCAAATATATATATATATCTTAAAGGGACACTGTAGTCACTATAACCACTTTGTCTCTTTGAATTGGTTATAGTGCCTGCGGTGCCCTGGCACTGTCCCTCCATTCATTGTTGCACTATGTTTGTGCAGTATGCCACAAAAGAAGAGTCCCTGGCCACCCACAGTCCAGAAACTGATGGTGGAGCGAGGCTTATGCCATCTGATCCTCAAATATGTAAGGATCCTTTGAGGCTTTACTCTGAGTTGCACTTGCAAGTTCTACTTAGTTTACCATCTAATACAGCTTTTCCTTTTTTTTTTTGCAGCTCAAATTAGTTTTGTCGACAAAGAAAGCTAATACAACCAATGCAACGCTTGATTTATCTTTGTCAGCTTTTGACAAAATATAATCAAATATATATATATATATCTTAAAGGGACACTGTAGTCACTATAACCACTTTGTCTCTTTGAATTGGTTATAGTGCCTGCGGTGCCCTGGCACTGTCCCTCCATTCATTGTTGCACTATGTTTGTGCAGTATGCCACAAAAGAAGAGTCCCTGGCCACCCACAGTCCGGCCCCTTCTGTATGTGTAGCTAAGGCAGAGATTACACACTTCCTTGTTGTCATACCCATTCATACCGTCAGTTGGAACTCTGACAGGTTTAAAGCAGTCAGCTGACACTCTCAGCCAATCACAGCTGCCCATTGCTGCTCAGGGTAATACTTCCTTATTAGCCAAAGCAGCACAGAGGGGATGGACTGCCGGGGTCTCTTGTTTAGCATTAAAACATTACAACATTAAAAACTGTTTAATACTGAAAGAAATGATGGCACCAGGGGACTCCATACACTATAACCAGTTTAATGAGATGAAGCAGATACAGTGCCTACGGTGTCCCTTTAAGTTAACACCTAAAATAAAAGACGTGAAGCTCTGTCACCTATTATAAAACACTTAGCACTCTACTTTGAAGGAGGTATATTCACTTGTATATAAATATATTAGTGCTAGATTGTGCAGTAAATAAAGTAAATAAAATGGTGTTTTATTATTATTTGTGAGGTAACAATAACAGCCTAAGAATGATTGGCTGAAATTATAAGGGCGTCTGTGCCTGTATGGCTGCGCAAAATGTTTCTTCGTTATGCTGAAATATCATTTTAGGTGGGTGTCTTATTTTAAGAGCTATTTCTACACAAGTGTTAGTAGCTGCTATTTTCAACTCTTATTTAATATTAATTGGCTTTGAGAATATACGTTTGCAATTATGTGAAAGTAAAATCATTTCATTTACTGTTTAAACCATTTTCTACCCCAATTATTTCACAATTTTCACAATATTACCCCATCCCTACCATGAACAGTGACA